AAGACGTGGGGTTGGAAGACATACATCACACTCACGCACACTTATTACAGTTGTGCCCTCGCTCGGAGGGTCCGAATAAATATACAGTCCCAATATTACAGTCCCGAATAAAAGAATATTACAGTCCCAAAATATTACAAAATTCTAATTAAAAAAAATTAAAATTATTTTTAAAATTTATAATTAAACAAATTTTTTCAAAACTTAAAATGCAAAACTCAAAATTCAAAATTTAATTTAAAAATTATTTTCAAAACTCATAACTAAATATATAACTCAAAACTCAATTAAAACTATTTTCAAAACTTAAAATCAAACTCTTTTCAAAACTTCATTAAAAAAAAAATTCAAAAAAAATATTTTTTTTATTTTGTTTTTAAAATCATGATTTAAGTGTGGAGTCATGTTTTGAATTATGAATTATGAATTTTGAGTTGAGTTTTAAAAACAGAAAGTTTGTTTGTTTATAAGTTTTGAAAAGAGTTTTAAGTTGTATTTTGATTTTTTTTTTGATTTTTTTAAAATAAAAAAATATTTTTTTAACATAACATTAAATCGTATAAAAAAAATTAAAATTAATTTTAAAATTTAAATTATGAATTTTAAAAATCCATAACCAATCACATTTTGAGTTTTTAGCTGTCAAATAAATCAAAAGGTACCCAAATTTTCCATATTGGAGCTACCTCATTTCATATAAAAATCATCCACGTGTCCCATTAAAAAAAAAAAACCGTCCACATGCGGAGTCCTGACAAGAAATTTCAGACCTGCCATCTAATAATTACCGAATATGCCCCTCTCTGCCCGCCTTTTATTCGGGCAACACACTTACCACCCGACATCGCAGTCCCCAAAATTCTCACCCTTCCTTCGGCCCACAATCCCTGCCCGTAAATCCCGGGCAGCTCCACCTCATTCCCTCCTCATCTCTCAACAGCTTCGACTGTTCACTTTCAAGTACAGAGTAGAAACACCGATACCCCCCATCTCTCTCTCTACACACATATATGGATATCATTCTCTCTCTCTCTCTCTCTCTCTCTCTCTCTCTATAACTTGTATAAGACTCAGAGCTACTCACTCTCACAATGTTGTTGTGTGAAACACACCAACACGACAAGTGGTTTTAGAAAGTGGACTGAAAGTCAGTGAGTGTTCTTTGATCTTGAGAGTTAGAGTTTGCTTTTTGTGTTTGGTGTTTGAATTTTAGGGTTTAAAAAAATGTGGAGGCTCGTTCGATCTGCGGCGACGAATCTCCGCCGGTTCTCGACGGCCATCCCTGGTCCCTGCATAGTTCACAAGCGCGGTACTGATATTCTTCATGATCCCTGGTTCAATAAGGTCAATCTTTTATCTTCATTTCTGGTTTGTCTTGATTTATGTCCAATTTAATATTATCAATTAGATTAAATGGACACAATGTGAAAAATTAAGAGGCAAAATTGATATAATTAGAATTACGAGGACCAAATTGACACAAGGAGTCAAATTATAGGGGCATTGGGTATAATTTTGTGAAATTTATACTATCTGATGTATGAGCGTTGAACGAGTAATGTTAATTCTTTGTGAGATTGTATTAGTTCAGTGCTCAAAGCTACTGTACTGAATTGGACATTGTAGAGTGGAGATGTTGAATATGTGTTCAATTTGTCCCAGTGGATGGTACTCTTAATGAAGTGTCAATTTTAGTTAGTTTCGATTTCAGTTGTACTTTTGTTTAAGTGTTAGAGGCCAATACAATTTTTCGTTGATATTCTGAATGTGAAGGAATAGATGAGGATTGTTTTTTTTACATGATAAAATATTGTGCTATGATTTTGAAAAAGCTATAGCTCGGCTTTTTTTTTTTGGGTGCTTGAAACAAGTTCAGTGGCATTCCAGAAAAATAAATAAAAGATAAGGCTGTCAAGCGTGAGAATTCACGTATGGGTTTGAGAATAGGTTAGGACTTTATCTGGTCCATCCCCTTATCCTGTATTATTTGTGAAAAGATGCAGTAAGATACAAGCATTTCAGTTATTTGCCCGTGCTAGCTTCACGTACAGACTACTGATGAGCATGCATTTAAATGAATTCCATGATTATTGGTGGAGAAATTCCCTATGTGACTTTGAAGCCTTTTCCGATTTCTTCTTTTGCTTTGTTTTGTTTTTGTTTTTATTTTATCATTTTTCCTTGTGGATTTTCCAAATGCAGGATACTGGCTTCCCTTTAACGGAAAGAGATAGACTTGGGCTCCGTGGTCTCCTCCCTCCTCGTGTGATATCATTTGAGCAGCAATACGATCGTTTTAGTAAGTTTAATACCCACTATGGTTTGTTCTCGGGACAGTGATACCTATAATTAATACTCTATCTTGTATCGTCTTTCTTAAAACTCTATCCTTTTGATGCACCTTTAACCCTAAAACCCCCGTATTCTACCACCCATCCACAGAGCTAACTATTTTGGATGAAGCACTCCCTTTTGTATGTAATTTTTAAGTGCTCGGAAAGTTATGTCCAATATTTGGTGTCACTGATTTTGCAATAAGCAGTAGACCAAAAAAAAAAAAAAAAAAGAAAATATTTTTGCATATCAAATTAACTATTTTATCTGTAACCTCCCCTAGTACTCAGCCACAAACATTCTCTCGATGCGAATTGACCTTAGATGAGATTTCTCCTACAATTTTTTTTCCTTTTTTTCATTCTTCTTCCTTCTATAATAGATTTTGTTTCCAAAATTAGTGGTCTTGATGCTATGTTGTTTCTATTGTTAGTGGAGTCGTATCGATCGCTTGAAAAAAATACTCAAGGCCAACAAGAAGGCGTTGTGTCATTAGCAAAATGGAGGATCTTGAATAGACTGCATGACAGGAATGAGACGTTATACTACCGAGTAAGTTTGGTGGCAAATATCAGCTTGCAAACAATATTTGATTTAAGAATTAATTATAATCTTTCTTTTTCTAGAGAGAATCTAATAATTATTTGATTCAATTCTATTGCTTTTCTCTCCAGGTCCTTATTGATAACATCGAAGATTTTGCTCCAATAATATACACTCCTACAGTAGGATTGGTATGTCAAAACTATTCAGGGTTGTTTAGACGTCCGCGGGGAATGTATTTCAGTGCAAAAGATAAAGGAGAGATGATGTCCATGATCTATAACTGGCCTGCTCATGAGGTATTATGCAAACCTAGAATGTGTTACTGTATGCTTTTGTTCTCTTTTTTGCTTTCACCTACTTGATGGCTATACATGAACGGTGTTTTCTACTTTATTGTGTTTCCACAGTAATTTCTTCTCAAAAGTTGTCAAGCTGCAAAGCTTGCAGGAAATTGTAAATTGTAGCAAAAATAGAATAGTTAAATTTCTATGTGGTATAGTGCAGATGATAGAGTGTGCTCACTTGAGGTTAGATCGTTAATATGATTGCTGCTTACACTTGATAACTGCAAGGCCAAAAAAGTAACTTACACTGGAGAGTGTGTTCTCTACCATATGAGCATTTTTGCATGCAAAGAAATGAAAATTGTACAAATTCAGCATTCCTTGCAGCTTAAAAGGTTTTGTCCCTTATTGCACTGGAAATGAAAATTCTTCTATATTTCAGGTCGATATGATTGTCCTGACAGATGGCAGTCGTATTCTTGGCCTTGGTGATCTTGGAGTCCAGGGAATTGGAATACCCATTGGAAAACTTGATGTGTATGTTGCTGCTGCTGGTATCAACCCACAAAGAGTATGCTCTATTCATCTCTCTTTCTATATGTACAGGTGCATGTTGTGTGTACATGTTCACAGAGGTGTTTACTACAATTGAATAGGTATACATATACTAGTGTGCATAAGTGCAATTGTCCTTCTCTTGCCCTATTCTCCCATAACAGGATCAAAAAATTAGACATTACCTGCCCTCGGAGAGTGCTTTGCTGCACAACTGTGCACACTGACACAAAAAATATACACATTCAGGCTAACACGAAGGATACTTGCCGTGCTTGACATGGATCATGACACGATGTGGTGATATGTTTGCATGCTATGAAAATGTGTTGGCTATTTTCCTTCCATATATAAATTATATAGATGAGATAGAAGGATAGATGTCTGAAAAAGTAACAATAATTTTGGGTTGACCAGATCTCAAAGATACTTGGGTCAACCAGATCTCAAAAACTAATGTCCACTTTTGGACATTAGTTTTATCCTTTCACTTTCTCTTTCTTTTATACCAATCTAACTGTGTTTATCTTTGATAACAGATTCTCCCAGTTATGCTTGATGTTGGTACCAACAATCAAAATCTTCTTGAAGATCGTCTTTGTGAGTAGAAATTTGTTGACTTGTCACTGTTTCTCTTCTGCTCTGTGGTTCTTTTTCTTTATTTAACTTGTCTTATTATCTATGCCTCATAAATGGTGACGGGTTCTCATTTTGGGACTCATTATATTCAATCAGATCACTGGCTCTTTAACATAATTAACTATCTTATTGCTTCTGTTATTTGAGCTGTTCACACTTTTGCTTAATTTGCTTGTGTTCTTTCTCACCGTTGCTAATATTAGCTGAAACACACTGTTTTAACCCAGATGCATACTCCACCGTACATATAATATTATAGTTATTATTATTTTTTACTAGTATAAGTATTCTGCTGACAGAGGTATATGTTTATATCTGATGATTCTGATGTATGTAACTTACAGAAAAAAATTTCTCAGTAAGTTGAATATTTTTCATATAAGTTGAAGTCTCTGGACTTTTGAGGGTACCATACAAATGACCTATGATAAGAAAAATATGTAACTTCATTGATGCTGACTGTGTCACTAGAGACAGAATCACCAGGATAATATATGAATCAGTAGATGAAGATGGACAAATCTAATGCACCAAAAGATTACTCAATTTTGTAGTCAGGCATCCTGTTCTAGGCCATATTTGACTATCATAGCATGACTTTACACTATTTCAATCATGATATATAGGCACGTTCAATGACTCTGAAATCAGCTTCTAGTCTGGTGAAGAACTGCTAGAGTCCTTGCAGATGACTGCAACAACAATATGAATTTCATTAAAAGTGATTTCACAAATACAATTGATAGGTTTCTGTAAAAGAGATTCGAAGCATTATAATATTGGACATAACACTTCATATATTTATCATTTCTCTTTTCTTATTCAACTGGAAGACATTGAATGCTGACAGAGGTAACGACTTCAATTTGTTGAGTATGCTAATTTCCTATGCAAAGTGCATTCAATAATAATTGATACTTAGAAGTTAGAACCAACTTTAACATGGATAAAAGTTATGAAAAATTAAGAAATATACAGAAAAAAAATAATTTTTGATCTCTATAAACTTGCAGTTAAATCCAAAAAAACTTGAAATATTGATCTCCATTCATGTTTATCCATTGTTAATATATAATTCTGCTGAATATACTCTATTTTTTCTTCCATATTTTCTACTAATTCAAACTACAGAAATTCTTGTGAACCCATTCTTTGTACCAAACTTCAGAATTTCTTTTCACAAGATTTTAGTTTAACAGATTTAGGACTACGACAACCTCGGTTGGAAGGAGAAGAGTATCTATCAATTATTGATGAATTTATGGAGGCGGTTCATGCACGTTGGCCCAAGGCGATCGTGCAGGTCCAGTTCTTTCAGAAGTATGACATCTTATTTGATGTGTAAACAGTATCTTACTGATAACTTGATGGTTGGGGAATCTTATCAGTTCGAGGATTTCCAAATGAAGTGGGCTTTTGAGACACTGCAACGGTATCGTAAAAGGTTTTGCATGTTCAATGATGACATACAGGTGAGTTCTTGGTTTTGTATTCTGCTATTCTCCATGGAAGCAGTGAATAATATAATAGGGCTCAAAGTGATGTGAGATTATTAATGGTAGCTCCACTATAATGACATTGATATTGCTT